CTACAAATTCAGAAAGTTGGCTTTAAAATTGTAACTTAATCAATTATTCACATTTAAACCTCTGAAAAATCTTTTCAGTGCCTAGAATCTGCCCCTAAAGACATAAAGTCCCCCACACTGACATACACATGAACACGCGGTATGATCATCTACAGGAAAATCTTGTTAAGGTTTTCTATTGTTTCCACTTGCATCACTTCTCTGAATCCTTTCCAGTTCAAGTGAGTACTTCTAAGCACCTTTTGATCACTCATTCCTTGAGTAGAGGTTTTGCTTCCATTCCATCTGTTATCCCCGAAGCTACCATGGTGTCAGGGAAGAGCAGATGTTAGAGAAACATCTGTTTGAATTAGAGTCAATCAGCTATGTTTTCCAAACTCTATTTTAAAATGGTGTATTCTGGGACAGTGGTCTTGAAGAGGTTTGGCTTCCAAGGATGAAATGACTCAGATGAACCTGAAGCTCACCAGTCATACGTGAACCTGAGCACTCATAGGATGACAATGTTGAGCAGAATTTAGCTCCCTCCAGCACTCTGTTACAGTTCGGGAAGAACTGTTGGCTGCATTGAACATGCTTTTTGTATACTCAGGAGACAAAGTTCTTCCATGTTGCCTTTAACCAGCCATGTTTCTGAGGTGCTGAATGTCCTTACACAATGCCTTTTCCTAAATAGCAAGCTTCACCCCCCAAGAAAAACCTCAGTATAGATCAACACACTGTTTGAAATTCATCACTGGAACAAAATGTGGCATACTTTCAAATACTAGAATTTTAGACACTGCACTTCAAAGTTAAAGAGACTTACAACAACATGAAAACCATCATCGATAATTACAACTCATAGAAAAAATTACATGCTATATATTTAACAAAACTGGGTGGCATACCCATGAAATACATGCTCTTTGAGAAGAAGTAAGTCATAATATTATTCCAAATGAAGATCTAAAACTAAAATGAGCACTCATTCTGAGACACTAAAACGTAAAGTGAGTGAGATTTTTAAATGTTGAGTAGACCAGCTTTAAAACAAACCTACTTGGGTTTGTTTTTACCATTTTTTTGCAGTTTAATATTTGTCCTCCAAAAAAGAATATTATTAAAAGAACTGCATAACTTACATAAGCTTTCACAATAATAGAACATTTATAAATTAATTTAAGATCTCAGAGAAATGTGTAAATGAATCAGCATCTTTTAAAGTTTAATATATTTGTCTCATAAGCACACTTGTCTCTCATTTAACTTTATGCAGTGCTTTTTCTTTTGGTAATTTTTATCTTTATTATGCCAGTGACCCATATTTACTATAGTAAATTGATACATACAATTTCATCAAGGTTTCTCAGCCGTGGCTCTATTGATACTTTGGATTGAATAATTCTTTGCTGTGGAGGGCGGTCTCTGTGCTGCAGAATGTTCAGCAGCATCCTCGGTCTCTGCCTACTAAAAGTGAAGGGTGTCCTCAGTTTTAATAAAAAGAAGTGTCTCTAGACATTACAAAATTTTCCCAGGGAGAGCAAAATTGTCCTTAGTTGAGAGCTACTAATTTACGGAAAGAAAACAAAGTCATCCATTTTCTTCCACGCTTATAATTTAGTTTATATTCTTATGGTCAATTTTCTATATCTATACAGATAAGTATCTGTGTATCTATCTCCAAGATATTCTATATATGGAATATATAAAAGCACATAAACATTTAAAATCAACATTATTACTGCTCTTTTGTAGCATATATTATGAACATTCTTTCACAAAAATGTATATATTTGTTTCTTCGTTTTTAAATTAATGGCTACATAATATTCCACTGTTTATATATAATATTATTTATTCCATTTAATACTTTTAGATATGAAGTTGTTTCCAATGTTTGATAAAAGTGTGCCTTTGGTTAGGTATGATACTCTTGGGAAACACTTTTTTTTCCCCTAAAATTTTTGCAGATTTGTTTCATTGTCTTTTGGTATTAAAAATGGCTGAGAAGTATGAGACCAATATAATTTCTTCTTCTCTGCATTTTTTCATCTGTATCTTTAGTCAAGGCACCCAAAGGATTCCTTCTTAAAGTTGAAAACCTGTCTTTAAAATATCGATTTATTGATATTTCCCAAAATAGTGTTCATTTTCAGTCTTTTGGCATAATTTCACATTCATTTCAATAAACTTTTATTCTATTATGTATTTAAAATCACTTTTATTTTTAGTTGCTGGTCTTTTCTACTTTAAGCACACCAATTATCCTTATGTTGGATTGTCCTGGTTCTGTGTATTATGGTCTCCCAGTTCCTTGAATTTAGTTCCCCCTTCGGCATTCATGGTGAATCATACAATCCATCATTTTATATGTTTCCATTTTTTTTTTGCATCTTCATTTTATTTTTATTATTATTAATTTTTGAGACAGAGTTTCACTCTTGTTGCCCAGGCTGGAGTGCAATGGCATGATCTTGGCTCACTGAAACCTCTGCCTCCCAGATTCAAGTGATTCTCCTTCCTCAGCCTCCCAAGTAAAGTAGCTGGCATTACAGGCACCTGCCACCACTCCCAGGTAATTTCTGTATTTTTAGTAGAGAAGGGGTTTCACCATGCTGGCCAGGTAATCTGCCTGCCTTGGCCTCCCAATGTGCTGGGATTACAGGCATGAGCCACCATGCCCAGCTGGTATCTTCATTTTAATAAGTCCATAGCCCATCTTCATTATGGTAAACTAGTAAATATAGTTAAATTGGGGTTTCTTAACCGTGACACTATTGACATTTTGGGTAGAAATTTCTTCACTGGGGTGGATAGAAATTACTCTCCTCTGCATTGCAATATATTTAGGATTCACTACTTTTTGTGATTTATTGGGTAATTCTTTAATATTGTTTGCCTTATGCCTTGTCTAAGTCCAGGAGATGCCATTCACGTCCATGTGACCTGCCAGTTGCTTATGGTGATCTTTCTGCTTCTAAACCCTACTTTCCTAAGTATGAGATACACACAGGGCAAGCTATACATTCAAGAATCCAGCTTGCTGAATGTCTTTGCCTCCAACATTCTTTCAAATGATCCTAAGTGGCACAACCATAGGGAATTTGGGTCCCCACAGATACAAAACCAAACCAGTGGGTTTTGACCCAAAAGACCAAGTTTCAATCCTGACCAGCCACATGCTAGTTTTGTGCTCTTGTCATGTTACCCAACTTCTCTGAGTTACAAGGTTTTCACCAGTAAAACAATAGATTCATGGAGCTGCTAAAGAGGATTAATTAGGATAGCATAGGTAAAGGTTCCCGGCACAAAGAAAGCACTTAATTAATGTGAGCCTCTCTGAAATGAAAGTAATGCATACTAATACCCAGTAGATTTAGATCAGAGAGCTATATTGTCCAATATGGCAGTCATTAGCAACATGTGGCTATCAATCAATTAATGTTAGACTTTAAAATTCAGTTCCCAGGATGCTCAGGAGTCACAGGTGCTGGATGACTATATGTCGGACAGCACTGATATTTACTATTGCCATCATACAGGAAGTTCTACTGGACAATAGAAGAAATGATAGAATTATACAAGGACCAAAAGTCCAGAAGCCCAAAATCTTTGCCCATTAACTATGAAACTTGAGAGGAGAAACTTTATCTCACTTTGTCACAATTTCCTCACTGGTAAAATGGATACTGCCTTTGCAGCAATGTGGTGGGGATCAGGTACGTCGAAGTTACTTTTTTCTCTTGCTTTCTCTTTGTATTTCCAGGGCTTCAAGACTAAAGTCACTAACAAGAATCACTTTGAGGATAGTTAGTTGAAAGGTGCAGCCCTTTGGTAGTTTAACATTCACAGCCATGATTTGGTAATATTCCAATGCACCTGTAAGCAGTTAAGAACAGCATATGTTTGAAAGTGCAAGGAGCCACTGCAGACAGTTCTTGGGGTGATGGAAAGACACAAAATAACAAAAGTGAATTGGTTTTTATTGGCAAGTGGCCTTTCGTAGACTTTTGTAGCTCTCACAGGGTTTAAAATGGAAAGATCAAAGATTGTATTTCCGACTTTTCCATTTGTTTCACTTTGATGCCTAAATCTACCTTTCACAGGTTTGCGAACAATAATCTCTTGCTGTCATTTTGGGGGGAAATGTTGTATTTTTATTTATCGAGAGCTGGGATTGGCAAACCTTTTACATAAAGGGCCAAAGAGGACATATTTTAGGCCATAAGGTTTCCATCACTACTAGTCAACACTGCTATGTAGCATGAAAGTAGTCACACAAATGGGTGTGGCTGTGACAATAAAAGCTTACTAAAATAGGCCCATGGGCCTTAGTTTGCCAACTTAGAAAGATATGAAAGAACATATCCTTTTCACTCTTCCCCATGTTGTTTTCTTCTCCACTACGATATATATTTCTCGCTTATTTTATTTTTGAACATATAGTGTATCCTACAAATGATCACAATCAGACACTCAAAGATTTACTTTAGTAATGTGAAAAAATAATGTTTCTTCTCATTTTTATTAAGGCTTTGAATTTAAAAAATACATAATTCTTAATAATGATATTTTTTGTTCCTCAGAGAGAAAACTGAGCGGGAAAGACATGAAAATAAAATATAGAAGAATTGTAATTTAATTCTTGGAGGAGGGGATAAATCAATTAAATCATTTATGTGATTATTTCATAAAATGGTTAATAACAAGCAAATAGCCTTTTATTTTCAAATAAGCTCAAAGCCAAAACAATCAGAAACACTGATTACAATTCAAGATGAGATTTTGGGTGGGGCACATCCAAACCATAGCAGGTAGTTAATATGTTAAATGTAAACCTGGCTTACATAGAAATGGGTATCTGACAAAGATGAGTGGAACTGGAATAATTCTAGAATGACTCAAATTAGCAAATTTTAGAAACATACCTAAGACACTAAGGTTAGTGTCTTTGTAAAAAAAATTGTTTGAGGAATAAAATGGATAAAATTGGCTAAAATGAGAAATACACACAGATCTTACGGCTTACAAAACAGAATTTTATTTAAATTTGTATAGATAAAAATCTACCAAAATTTAAACAAAAACTTATCCAAATCCTTTTCTACACACAACAAAAATGGACATCATGGAAACAAAAACCATATTCCCTTCGAATAAAGTTCCCATTTTTCTACCATAAACTGGTAGATACTGGGAGGGTGAGGAGAAAGAGATAAGGAGAGAAGATAGTGATACCCAACACAATGTGATCTTCAGTGCTGTCTCATCTTGAAATGACTTAATTACAGAGGTTTCCATGAGAATCAGGATTCTTCATTTTTGACACAAAAATGGAAGCTTCTAATCCAATATCACAAATAAGGCTTCGGGTTTTCTTTTTAGTGTGAGGTAAACAGTATATTCAATATTAAGGCAAATGGTAAAAACACATGGATAGTATATTAATGCAGACCTTCCACTATTAAATATATTTTGGAACACTTACAGATTTTTCAAACATACGTTGGAATTAGAAGCCTGTAAAAACTGCTGCAGTTTGTAAGAGCTATTTGCTTGAATGTCTTGGCAGTGCCTTTTTAGTAGCTAACATGTACAATGTAATCTTGTGGCTTTTTAGTAGTTAATATATTAAATATAATCTTGTTTGAGTTTTGAAATGGTGTTTTTTTCCCTATGTAAGATTAGAAGCCCCCCAAAATTCTTGTAAATGAAGCAGGATCTGATTTCAAATTCTGCCTATACACACAGTATTTGGCAACATGAACCGCTCCCCAAAGTCTGCAAAACACTGCCTACTGAGCAGGCTTACAGTGACAGCAAAGTATGAGAACACGAGACATTATTTTTATAAAGACTAAGTAAAAATCAGATTTAGGCTGTGTAGATAGCGTATTCCAGAAAACACAGATTTAAGATTTTGCCTTTTCCCCGTTTTCTTTTCCCCAATGAGATAACCATTTCTTTCACAATGATGAACCATCCTTTTTATGCAAAAATGGCTTTCTTTCTCCATCACATCAGGACAAAGACATCACTTCTTGGCCACGCTGGCCACAGCCTTCTTGGCTGCATCCTCCAGGTCGACAGCTGAAGTAATGGGGAGTCCACTGTTGTTGAGTATCTTCTGGGCCTCATGGACATTGGTGCCTAGAAGCGGAACAGGGAACAATCACTGAACGAAACTAGGGGAGGCCCCTTATGAAGTCTGCACAAGAATGCACAAGACTTACCTGTCTACAGCTTTTCACTAGGAAATGAATTAAATATAGGTTCTCATCAATGTTGCTGACAGAAAAGATTATGTGATGAAATTTATTCCAAGCTGTGGTCCAACTAGAAAAGAAGATGAAAGCAAGGACTTGCAAGAAGCAAATGAACATGCTTTACTGATGGAAGCTGAGATGTCTGCTGATAATCACGGTCATGGGGATCTAATGTGGTTTTGGTCCACACCAGAAGTCACCTGTCTTAAAGGTCTCTTAATGTCGCTGGTTTGGGCTGTGACCTGCTTTGAGAAAGGAAGTTCTGAGAATCTGCCCAGCTATGCCCACAAATCCACTTCTTTGGAGACTCTGGCAGCATCCAGCATGTCCATTTCTGCCTCCTCCTCACTGTATAAAATGAAATGGCCTGAGCCCTTCAGAATGGGCAATGCAGCCTCTGATGGCAATCTCTTCGCAGTTCCTGGTGGATCTGGAGTATGTGCCGGCCAAGCCACCTCAACCAAAGGTGAGAATTGCTTTTCTGCCCTTTTAGAGTGAACAGAACTCCTCTAGGAGAAATGTGATAGAATTTAAGTGTCTAATGAAATATCTCATTTTACACCATTTCCTGTGCTTTTATCTAGTTGGCAAGACAGAGCCTATTTATAAACAAAGATCTTGAAATATAGGCCTTGGAGAACTTGCCTTACCACAAAGAGTGCAAATAAAAAGAGGCACTGGGTTAGCACATTTCTTATAAAGGGGCAAAGGCTGGGTTAAATGGGAATGGGTGGATTGAAAAGATGATGCAGCACTGATACTCCTGGGACCCTGGGTCTACCCACACGGTAGTTAAAAGGAACGCCTGGCACTGCGCCTTAAGCTTATGGCTCACCTACTCATGTTTTTAGAGGAAGCTGGTGAAAGGCCTCTCTAGAAAGTGACAGCATGAAGTGTGGGAAGCTGCTACCTAAAATCCCCATCCTGGCACTGCCATGTACTTGTTACGCAGTTTTGGGTAAAGCATTTAACTTCTCTTAGCTTTAACTTTTGTCTCCATACATAGCACCACCATCCTCATAATCTTCCCCAGAACTAATATCATTAAGTATTTATGTATGCCAGGCACAGTGCTAAGTAACTTATACACAGCACATGAAATCATTACAAAAACTATGAGTGGTCCCATTGTTCCTATTTTACGAATAAGGCAACTGAGGCACAGAGAAGTTTAATAACTTTTCCATGGTCAGAGAGGTGGTAAGTGGCAGAGATGGGACTTGAACTGCTGTCTGTAATTATAAACCCTGCATGTTCTAAAGATATGCTAGTCTACTTCTCTACTGGTAAAATGAGGACATTATAGCTGATGGTACAGATTGCGATGAGAGGCAAATGAAATAATGAGTGTAAAAGCATTTCTGTAAATGACACAGTATCTGTGGCAGGCCTGGCTGGCTCTCTACCAGACTCCGGCTCCTCTTCTGCAGTGGAGTGCTATTGCTGGAAAGCAGCTGCCCAGCTAGAAACTACATTTCCCAGATTCCCTTGCATCTAGAAGGGGACATGTGACTCAGATCTGGCCAAAGGAATGCCACCTGGCCATGAGAATCTCCAAAGGGACTCTTCAAACTCTGTTTTTCCTGTCTGGAGTGTTCCTAGCAGGGCAGCCCTGGAAGTTATCTGTTTGGTTTTGGTTTTGTTTTGTCTTGTTTTTGAAACAGGCTCTCACTCTGTCTCTCCAGATGGAGTGCAGTTGTGTGATCTCAGTTCACTGTAACCTCAACCTCTGGGACCCAAGTGGTCCTCTCACCTGGATACTTTAATAACTGAAGCTAAGCATCCTGCCCACTCACCCTCTTAGACCTCATGGGAATGAGAAAGACCCTTCTATAATGTTAAGACTGTTGTTAGAGGAGCTAGTGTTACTTTGACAAACACATGACTTCATAAATGCTGTGGAAAGCAGCTTCTAAAATGGTTTTCAAAGATCAGTCACTCCTGCCTCCTGGTATTCACATCCTTGTAGAATCTGACCCCTTGATTATGATCTGGATCCAGAACCTCACTTCTAATAGGTAAGAACATGGTAAAAGTGATGGAATGTCACTTCTGAGCCTAGGTTACAAAACCCTGTGGCTTCAGTCTTGCTCCCTTTGACTCTCTGTTCGCTCTGATGAAGCCAACTACTGTGCCCTCTGGACAGACTCACCTGGCAAGAAACTGAGGGTAGCCTCTGGCCAATAGCTGATGAGAAACAGGCCTTGAGTCTAATAGTCAAGGAGAAAGTGCATCTGGCAGCAACCATATGAGTGGTCTTGGAAGCAAATTCTTCCCTAGTCAAGACTTGAGACGTCTGCAGCCCTGCTGACACTATGATTACAGCCTGTGAGAGACCCTGAGGGAGACGGTCCACTGGAGCCACACCCAGATTCCTGACCACAGAAACTATGAGATAATAACTGTCCTTTTAAGCTGCTAAATTTTGGGGTAATTTGTTAAGCAATGATAGATTAAGTAACACAAATGTAAAAATATATTATTTCATTAATACAACCTGTGTTCATTTGGATTGATTTACTGTGGCAGGTGTTCAATACCAGGCTAAGGAATTTAGACATTAATCAATAAGCATGGCTTTCATGGAGCAATGACAGAGTGTGAAGCGAAAGCTCTGATGGACACAGGAGCAAATCAGTCTTTGGACCAGAAGGTAAATGAAAGTTACATGTGTAAATTTTGTTTTAGATGGTCATGGTCTGTCAACCAGGATGGAGTGCAGTATCGTGATCTCGGCTCACTGCAACCTTCACCTCCCTGGTTCAAGCAATTCTCCTGCCTCAGCCTTCTGAGTAGCTGGGATTACAGGCAACAGCCACCTCTCCCAGCTAGTTTTTGTATTTTTGGTAGAGATAGGGTCTCGCCATGTTGGCCAAGCTGACCTTAAACTACGAACCTCAAGTAATCCACCCGTCTCGGCCTCCCAAAGTCTGGGATTGGAGGCATGAGCCACCGTGCCCCACCTACATGTGTAAATTTCTATCTCTTCCTGCAGAGACACGAACTAGGCTCTTCTCTCTCTTCCTTTCTCTTTTTGAGCACCTTCCAATCTCAACACAGACCTCAGGATAGTAGTGTTCCTGTGGAAGTAGTGTTCCTGACATCTTACTCCATCTCAGATCCTGCTCTTTCTGGAGACCAGTTTTATCATGGGTCCTGCCTATTCAGAGAACTTCTTATGCAGTTTTACCCGAGTTCCTTTCCATGTCTACGGATGAAATGAGCTCTTGATCTTTTAATTTTTTTTCAGATAACTTTAATGGGCTGTGCTTCCTTGCAACCAACTAATATAAATAATTTAGTTCCTTAATTAATATCCTCTTTAGCACCTAACTTAGCACCAGTATTCCTAAGGGAAAATAAATGATTTGGAAATTCATGAGCACCAGATGTGCTGGGCCACTGCCCTTGCTGGGCTCTCTACCCAGAGCCCTGTTGGGCTGACACCTCTCTCTGCTGGGCTGACACTCATACATTCACAAGCATCTGTTAAATGGCATTTCTTGGGGATGTCTTTCTTGACATCACCTCCCCATGCCCCAACTAAAACAGGGGCTTGTACAGTGAGCTTCCAGAGTACCTTGTATTTCTAAAATCTTAACATAGATGAAGCCTTGTTGGATGGCTTACTGATGCTTCCCTTGTACCTTCCAAAAACTGCTTCCCTTTGTCAGACATGCTCACTGGATACTTCCCAATATCTGTTAGCTACCAGTATGTGCTGACCCACAGAGAACTCAAGATGGGTTCCCACACACAAAGTGTGTTTGAAAAGAAGAGGGGTGGGCAGGTACTTTTTGATAGATCACCTTGCTGTCCTAACAACTCTTTCCTATAGGGTTGAAATAGATACCCCAAACTGTGCAAGGTGCAATCAGGAGGGATTTTTTTTTTTTTTTTTGGAGTCCTCCCGGGATTCCCCAGGAGCTTTGGGAGTGGCTCCTTTCTTTAGAAAGGCCCAGGAAGAGCTGGCTGTGCCCACTGCCCTGAGTTAGGACTCCAAGCTATTACCATTCCTCCCAACCTGTAGCAGCTCCAGGTGCCCCAGACAAGTGAGACCTTGCTTGGGGCTAACACTGGTGGACAGGGCCAGAAGAGGAAAGGAGAGGGAGAAGCTCTCCAGAAAACCAAGGCCCTTCTCTCCTCCCAGCTGCTCCTTCAGTGCCGCGTGAAAATGCCTAGTTGTTTCATAATTCTAGGATCCACAAAAGTGAATTTTAATTATACTTGCAGTTACACTTTAATTACAGCCGTAATTATTAAGCATATACTAGGCATGCTTAGAACCAAGCAGTTTTTGAAGGGATTCTCATATTCAAATACAAGGCTCATCTGTGATGTGAAATCGGTCAGACGTAGAGCCAATATGACCTGGTGGAAACTTGTTACAAAATGGGAAGTGGCGTAGAGAGAGAGAGAGTGAAAGAGAGAGAGAAATGAAGAGAGAGACAAGGGACAGAGTCAGGGGGAATAGCCTAAAAAGGAACAGACATATGAAAAGAAAGATAGGTAGAGAGTAAGAGAAAGTAAAGGAAAAAAGTGCGTTTGCCAAGTGACAGCAGCCCTTACCCTGATGCTGGCACCACCTCTTTGCAGCATTCTACCTGGCTTCTCCTTGAAGGCATGGCTCTGCTGCCCACTGACCCTGCCCTGGTCGTTAATTACCACTTACTTCCCTCCTTTCTGCTGAGGGAACAACTGGAAGAACAACATGCAGAGAAGAGGGGTTAAAAGAAAACCATTGGGCATGGTGGCCTGTAGTCCTGGCTACTTAGGACGCTAAGGTCAGAGAATCGCTTCAACCCAGGAGGTCGAGGCTGCAGTGAGCTGTGATTGCAACACTGCACTCCAGCCTGGGCAACAAAGCAAGACCCGGTCTCTATT